TGGAAGATCGCAGTCGTTAGGGTTAACCGGCGTAGCCTTAACAACAACTCCTATGCGATAGGCCGGCCTGCGGGCTCTGACTTGCTGAACTTTCATCACGCTCAGGCTGCAATGGCTCTCGTTCACGCGATCATTAGAACAACCTGGCCTAGGTAACATATTGGGTTCTTACTGCAGCTATTTTTTGGCAGAGTTTCAGGACGGAAAGTTTGGGTCACAGACAGAAGTATATTCTGGTAGTCTCAACAGTCGACGCCCGTATGAAATAATAAAACAAAACATGCTTACTACCACCAGATAAGTAGTTAGTTATAGGAAGTAAACACGGTCGTTTGCGACAAACTATGTTTACCGCCCCAGCTCTGTGAAGGAAGACAAAACGCGATATAAAACGTTCAAGTCTACTTGAATACGAGGAAATTTTAAGCTTAGGCTACAACTGAGCCCTTCCTGAGAAGCTAACGATCCATTTTTGGCATGCGACAGCCAAACATATGCTGGGTGTTTCGAAAGAAAACGTGAACAAAAGAAGGGACTTGCCATTCCGTGGCAGGGATGTGAACTCCTCTTAATGCAATCAAAGCTATCATGGTGAAATTGGCAGCGGTTAGCGAAGCCGCGGGAAACGCAAATGCAGGTAAGTATGGAGGCACTCTGGTGTAAACACCACTTACCTCTCTGTGATGAGAATGAGGTTGTTATCCCTGACCACCGCGTCCACCAATTCGACTATATTGCTGTGATGCATTCGGCCAAGGCACTCGACTTCCCGAGCGCCCAGCACCCGAGTTATGAGGTCGTCCAGTTCGTAGATCTTTCCCACGTATTCGCGGTTCGTCTGCTTGTCTATGAGCAGATGCGACCGGCTGAAGGACCCTCTAATAATAAAATAGAACGCCATGGTATTTTAAAACTATCTAAAAGGGAGTCCAGGGAACTCTGGAACTCACTGGAGTGACCTCATTATCGGATGCAAAATAACAATCATAAGGTCAAATAGGGCTGAGGCTTACGTGGCAAGTTGCCTGAGAACGAAGTAGTGACGATCGATGCTTGTCCAGCGCGGTGTAATGTCCTTCGGGATGGGGTTATCTGAAAAGTAAATCAGTGGTTA